CAAAAGACTGGAGAAATTATCACTGTAAGACATGGCATCTGGAACCAACTGTCAGGTGAGTTACAATTAAAATTTAGCATTTTTTGTGTGACATTGGACTCTGTGTGGGACTGTGGTATGTGACAGAGTACTTTCCCTAAAGTTCAGCAATTTCAAAATGATTTTGTAAATTTTATTTCAATCTGGAAAGAAACAGTGCTTTTCTTCCATCTGAAATTTAAATTGTATTAACATTGTCAAGTGTCTTGTATGATTTGAGGTTTTCACAGCGGTGAGTATGAAGATTTCTGCCTTCTGGGTTGTTGCACTGTGTAGTCTGGTCGATGTTTACCAACGTTTCAGAGGTCATACTGATGGCAGAGGCAGTATGACCTCTGAAACGTTGGTTAACATCGACCAGACTACACAGCGCAAAAACCCAGAAGACAGAAATCTTCATCGTCAAGTGTCTTGTTGTCTGTTATCAGTATTTAAAGTTGTAGATAGATCTTTTACACTGTTGCAAAAGAAATTATGCAGTTTCAGATCTTTATCATATGGAATGTACTTTCTCTCATCTGGTTTCAGGACCACTTATTTATATGTTGCATAGTACAGCAATTAGTTAATGAGGAAGTGAAATTCTTGTATCTGTGTTTTAGCCCTTGTTCATATATTTGGAACCATGCTACAGATTGTCATTGTTGTTACAGCATCCTCCCCTTTAATTTTCTTCTTTTGCTTATGTGTGTGGTAGGGGGGGGGGCACATTATTTTTCATGAAAATCCAAGTTATTAAGGGTGTGTTATTAAAGAGATAGCTTGTATACAAAATAATTAACTAGTGAATTGAGAGAAATCAATTGAATCATTGCTTTAGAATAAAATAAGATGTATTGCAAGTCAGACTACAATAATTTACATAGCCATGCCTCCCCACTACTGGAAGAAAGATTTTATACCCAAGAAATATGACATTCTGTATCATTTTGTTTTCTGTTTTAAAAAGTTATATTTTGTGGGTGTCAGCATGCCATTGGAAAATTGCTAGAGTGTGTTTGGTATTGTTTTAGATTTTATACTGAAGGAAGGGTTCAATAAACATTAATCCCCAGTTTGAAAGTATTTAGAATTCTGACATTTCTGGACTAGACCTACAGTTTAATATGTAGATGTAACTGGGGACAGAATCAATTATTTAAAGAAAATTATTTTTTGAGTTGATGTATTTAAATGGATTTGCCAAACTCATACCTTCATATAGTTCAGTTTGAGAATCAGTCTCTTCAAACCTGTTGTTCTTGCAAGTTACTAAGTTCTCCAGATATGGGGTTCTACAAAAATGTAAACCCATATTCACTTACAGATTACTAAACTGTACTCATAATATTTTGTTTTCTAATTCTTCCTTGTGTGCTGTATTGATTTACAGGCTTCTTTCTTGGGCTGGCAAAAGTATAGAGCCATATGGAGTAGACTACATTCTTCAGAAACTTGGGTTCTCACATGCTCGAACAACAATTCCCAAATGGATGCAACGAGGTTTTATGGATCCATTAGATAAAGTGCTAGCTGTCTTGATGCTTAGAATGATAACTGTAGTGAGAGAGGAGCCACAAGCAAGTGAGTGGGATTCTGACAAGAAGCAGACTGATGGGAAGTAGAAATTGAAGTATTCCGAAAGCATCAAATGTTTGCACTAGCATTGATAGGCATACTTAATTATGAACGTGGCAAAACATAGTAACGTAATATGCCACACATATAAGAAAATCTGTTGGCTTTGTAAATAAAATAACCCTTGATATTCTTTGATGGCTGCAGAAAGTATGCCCTTTCAGGTGATGTTAGTTCCTCTGATAGCTTTAAAACATCTTCAGATGGTTGTGGAAACATTCGTTGGACAACATATGTGTACCTGTCTGGAAGTATTATCATAATTTTGAGCCATTTATTGTGCATGTATTTTGAGTAGACAAAATACAATGCCACTGGGATAAATATAGAATATTATAGCATGTCTCAGCATAAACGTTAAATTACACACAAAGAAAGCACAATATATCATTTTCATTAATTCACTGAAACTTTTCATGTCATAAATACCCTAGTATTTGTAGTAGGTAGTATGATTCATATTTAAGAAACATTTCTTCAGAAGTTGTACATAATTTTGTACTTCATTGATGAAGTCTTCTTCACCAGCCTAATATCCAGTGGGTATTGGAATTCTTTTCTTGATGAATACAATGACCTGAGCATAAAGAAAACCACTTACCTTCATCTAGTACCAAGGCTAAGAGTGTACGGAGCTATACCTCTGTGCCCAAATATATCCCATATATCTGCACTGTGTGGCACTTAGTGAAGTATCAGAAACAATTATACCTCTTTACCTTTATTTTGTCAATACCAGTGCCAACTAAGAAAAGAAATACGTCAGCTGTCATTCGCTTCTTTTTAGCCGTTGTTTTAATTTTTAGTTTAAGTGATGACTACTATATCTGTTTGACAATTGGAGCATCAGTTCTTATTCTTGAAGATACTATCTCTAACATTCCAATTTGCATCCCTTGTGTTATTAATCATTGTATCCTTTTAATGATATTATAGTTGTAATCTGTTTAGGATGTATATGGAGCAGGTATCAACACTGAACAGGAAATGATATATTGGCCAAGAATCACTTCCCTCCTTACATTGTGAGCTTTAACCCATTGAACTCTATTGACTCAGATAAAAGTATTTTCATGTGACTGTGGACTGTACATGTTACTTACCTGTCCTTATTCCTCATGTGTCTATTTCCACTTCATACATATCTTGAACATTGCATAATTTTGTCCATCTGGCATTTCTTGAGATTTTTGGTAGTGTTTGTTGGTTCCCTTATTTGGCCTTTTTCAGGGTTAGTCCAGTGATAAAGCTTCTGATCAGGCTATAAGTACAGCATTTTCTCTGCACATGTTGTAACAGTTATACCACTTTTGGAATTTGTACCGGGTATTCCGGTAGAAACTGGCAGACAATAGAGAGGTGCTTTCTGCCTCCATTATCAGGATGGAGGCAGTGAGCACCTCTGAAACATCAGCCAGTTTCTTCCAGAAGACAATCATCTTCAAATAGTCTTTTCTTCATTTTATTTTACAAATTGTTGCAGAGAGGTATTTCAGTGTCAGTGAGAAAAGTATCATATTTGTTCTTATATTGAAGAATTATATTTTATTGTTTATTGGGTATTTATTTGTTGTGTGCTATGGGTCAGTTCCAGTATAGTTAATATATGTGCTCTAATACTGCTACTGATTTGTGCTTATAGTTTGATTTGTATTCCTCTGATAGAAAATGGTAAACAAACATATCAATAATGTTAATATGTTGATGCCATACACATTCCTCTACCTTTGATGTGGCCTCACATGTCACTGTACGTGTTTCACTGGTATATCCTTTAGTATGTATTTTGAATAATATGTAACATATTCAGATTCTTATGACATATTCTTTCCTTTTTTAAATCCTTGTTATAGAAATATGTAATGTGTTGTTATTTCTTGCAATTTATTTCACAATTAACAGATTAGTCTTACAATGTGGTAATTGTAGTGAAGAGTTTAGGCATCATATTAAGTTAAATTTTACTATAATATGTAATTTTAAGGTATGTTCGCAAGTATAGTTTCAACAAGTTATCTCATTGACAAAATGGTCTGGAAAATTTCCAGCTCTGTTTTAATTTATTAGATACTGAGCATGTTTTAAGTACAGTCCACGATTGTAATCTTGAGACTTACAAGGAATGCAGTAAGTCCATAGCATTAAAGGCAGACACTATCTTTCCTCCTTCACCCCACCTCCTCACCCTGCAAGTCTCAAGATTACAGTCGTGGACTGTAGTTTGTGTTCATTTTTTTCTGTAAAAATATTTAAATTTCGACCACTTGCTGGAGTTTTTCTATGTCTGCTTGAGCTGGAAATTGATATTGTCAGTCAGTCAGTCATCAAAATTGTTATTTACTCATGTTTTGTACTTGTAAGTTATATTTGAAGTATGGGAAAATTACCCAGGAAATTGAAGTTTCTATTACAGTACTGAATGATTCAAACATGCATGAAGAAAAATAGATTTCTGGATCCCTTGCTGTATTGTATTGTCTGTAAATAGTTTTTGGTTGTGCTGCTTTTGATTTTAGTAGCATCCCTATCGCTGAATAGCTTAATATTGTTATGTATATGACTGTGAGTTCTCTTTGTTCCATTCTTATATTTTGTATCAGATATTTATATTTTATCATTATCATCATCATTACTATTACTGTTTAATTTTAGTGCTTTTTAATTGGATGGGTAGCAAAGAATTATAGCAACAGTTACTAATTATTTAAGTTTCTTTTGTGTTGTGTATATTGCATGGTGTTGTGGGAAATACCTCTATTTTATTTATTTTTTAATCCTGGCTTTACTGTTTGATAATGTGAAGGAACTAATTTATATGGTAACTGCATCTATAAGGCAGCATTTTGCTATTTGAAACAAACTACACAGTAGTAGAAAATTATTTATCATATGTATGAAAAGGCAGGTTAGAACAAGTGATTGTTGTTTAAGGTAACAATGTAAATATTATGTTATGTAATTTTGTTGCATATATATTTCTGGTTACTTTGTGATATATTTAAAATGTCTTGTTTTCCCATATGTTTCCCACCCTTGAATTAAGATTATTCCACAAAACATTGGTCAGTGCCTGTTATAACATACCGTGTAATGATGCAAAATAATATACAGAAGGTTCAGTCATAGAGGTGAAAGAAATGTAGAAAGGTAGCATTCGAAATTAAGGTTTGGAAAGGCTGTACTCAGTTTGTGGATGGTTATGTTCCATTTTATGATGAAAATATATGTAATCCAGCAAATTTCAAGTGGGAAAGTTTGATAAATAAGTGTCATTGTACCTGCTCTGTTAATTATAGGAAAATAAATATGATGACTGCATACAAAATAAGGCAGTGACATTTATTATTTTGTCTCTTCACCGTGTCATTTACCATGGTATAAGATACCGCATGTGGCTAGCTCAATTTGTTTGCTCGCCACAATTTTTCAAAACTCCGAAGGGACTTTGTGGACGCAGTGTATAATTTCAACTTTTGAGGAAATGGCATGAAGAATCTTGAAGGTTGTGGAAGCCTTTTATAGATCTGGTAGTAGGTAGAATTTGAAGGACATGATTGCCAGAACATTAGGGCAGGGTACTATTAATCAATAGCAGTAGGAGTTACAATCCACCTATTAGTGTGCTGTGAGTGGAAATCTTGCAGGGTACTATTAATCAATAGCAGTAGAAGTTACAATCCACCTATTCGTGTGCTGTGAGTGGAAATCTCGTTTTAAAATATTGCAATACGAATTCTCCGTTAGTTTTGCACGTGCATGTTAATCATACTGCCAGTAGATGGCAGAAGAATACGTTTCGTCAATCATACTACCATTCGTGAAGGTTGTATATCAGCCGACTGAAGGAGAATTTGTTTATTAAATATTATAAATTTGATCTCTTCCTCATTTAGCAGTTTCAGACGTTTTGGTAAAGGGCAATTATAGAATATTTTCATGCATTTTAACCCTTCAGGCTAAATGTTAAATTAGCTGACCGAATCGCACATATAATGCCACTAGTGTGTTGGCAACCCTTTTATTACTTGTTAACATCAAAAAATACGTTGATATAATCTGTGATCTCGTATATATTATTTCAGTTTTGGCTGGTCCGTAAAGTGGTTGATGTATGTATGTGCCTTGGCTTCTAAGTTGTATGATGGAGGGTGTGCTTTGTATTTAATAAAGTGATGAAGTGAACTGTGAAAAAAGCCCAGGACTGTTTCTATATGGATTCATTCGTTAACGTAAGTAGGTTTTATTTTTGCTGTTTAGCAGAGTAATGTAGCGAAACCACCTTTATGCCTTGTGCCCCTAAAGTTGTCCAGCTATAATCTGGTTGATTTTATTACAAAAGAGGTACAGTATTTTATGTGCTGAATATAAATCTGAAATCGAAGCTTAAAGTTAGCAGTGCAAGGTTGAGTGTTGGAACACGTTTCTGTTAATTCTGTTTTTGAATAGGGGCTTTTTAAAGGAATATTTACATGAATGTAAATGGAAGGTGAATGTTTTAAATGACAGGTGTATTTGTATAGCACTTCTGGTCTGATGCAAATTATTCAGTTCCAGTACCTATTTTCAGTTTTATAGTATGTGGAGTGATACTAATACATTACTATTTTCTTACATGTTTCAATACTTATCAACTAAGAAACATACTACTGTTTCCATGGTATATTAGAGGAAGAGATAAGTTTTCCTGTGATTTGTTGACTGTCATTATTGACTACTTGCTTTAAGCAAAGCATGTGTTTGTGTCCATAGCAATAAATTTTGTATTAAGCATTTTATGTGTGCACAGAATTACAAATGTCACAATATTTTGAACCTATAAGTTTATGAAAACTCTTGATTATTAAGGGCTTTTGTCCTCTTCTGGAAAGTAAGGTGCCATACTTTGATGTGCCAAAAGGAGAAAGGTATATTATACTTTTAAGTTGTTATAGTAAGAAATATAGTCTATGGTACCTTTAAAACGTTTAAAATAGCAGTACTGATTTATATGTGTGAGAACTACCAGCATAGCTGAAACTTAATTGTGCCATTTCTTACATATATTTAATGAAATTGGTGCTGATATGAAGTGCCATTGCTTAGGATCAGATGGCACATCCTAATATTTTGCCTCACAAGAAGGGCATGAAACTATGCATGGCCATAAATCTGTATCACATGTAAATCCCTGCCCTCTAGGAATGCAGGAATATGAAAATGGAACGTGTTGACTGAAGCTATCGATGATAAACCTTTGTGTGTGTGTGTGTTTTTTATGAATTATAATTACAAAAGACAAGAAATTGCCTTTTTCTATCTACATAATATCTTATCAAAATTTGAAGTACACCAGAAACCTTGTAATGGCACACCAGTTTGCCACAGCACACAGATTGCTGAACACTGCTCTGGAGGGTAAAGGTTAATAAATTTAGTGTATAAATTTGGGCACTACTTACCTCAGATGAAATCATGTAGAGGGAGGAATGCATTATAGGCAAAATGCTCTTGGTTGCACAAGAAACAGATTTTACATTTAATTTATGTAAACACATTAAATGCCATAGAGCCTGGGGAATTTTTTCATCCATCAGTCATAACTTTTCATGTGGAATTAAATGAGCAGAGAAGCAGTTTGCAGTTTTCTTCAAGTCTTTCAAATATGTATATGTGTGGATAGTTTTCAACATGAATGGACAAGTTTTCAAATCATAAATGTTGTGAACACTATATTAATTAACTGGGATAATTATTGCCTTATCCCTCTAAGTTTCATTTTGAGTCTAGACTGTCTCAGGTGGTACCTGATATATGTAATTGCTCGTGTACTGCTCATTGACAGAGTCTGCATCTGTGCACACAATAGTTGGATGTGCTGTTGCTACAAAGTAGGTTTTTGTAGGGCAGGAGTAATTCTCCTGACTGATACTTGGAAGGTGTCTGGTCTGAATCACAATGTGGAAATTAAGTTGACTGAAGCCTTGTTTTATGATTTTTCTCAGATTTTCCAGTGAGATTCTTGTTTGTCTTATTATAGGCCGTGGTTGCTTCCTTCCTCATCTTTCCCACTTCATCCTTTGCAGTTCATGTATTAATCTGTGCTGTTGGATAGTGTAATTAAATAATTCTGTGTTGAATCATGCTGTTGTAGTGCTCTCTTAATTACACTATAGGTAGTCACATACAGCAGTAATAATATAAATTAACTATGAACAGATTGCGTGAAATTAAAACCAATATGGATAGGTAAATAGTCGTTGCTTCCTTTGTTTGACATTTTGTGAATGACATACTGAATGCAGAAATTGATGGTAGAGAAATTTGTGTGTGGGTGTGAGAGCAAGCGAGCGTGTGTAGCTCTTGGTATAATGCCATTTTGTTTGCAACCTGGGTCTTCTGTATAAAGAGAATGGCAAGCAGCGCGTCGAGAAGTATAAATACATTTAACGGACATCCCATACACGCGTTAGGTTCAGGTCTGGACACTTTGTATTTGGATGAATATGTTTATGTGTTGGTGAATTTTGTTTTTCCATGATTTGTTCTTTTTTGATAGATGATAACGCGACTGTGATTCTATTCATTAGTATAATATCAGCGAAATGTCTGTGAAGGGAGATACTTGTGGCTGCACATGACAAGAAGCAATGAAGTGGTGTCAAAGAACGTGTTTTGTAAACAGGTTCTGAATTTGGCCCATTCAAAAGCGCGTTAGTTTAACTCGCCATTCGTAGTAACTCACTTGCACGTAACACGCTTAATTAAAACTTTCGTGTGTTTAAGAACCTATACAGACTTTATTTAGTAGTAAGACCTAATTTTAGATATTTGTGATGTAAACGAACACACGCTTGCTTTTGTAGGTCGTAGAGAAGTGATGCATTTGAAAGTACACGCGAATTATTTATTTGTGCCTGAAGACACGTTCATGTGTGGTTAATGTTACCATTGGCCTTTACGATCCCTAATTTCTTCTCCGCTTTCTCTGCATTTCGTTGGCGAGACTTCCGCCTATTCTTTCGTTCCGCAATGAACCTTGTAGTATGCGCGTTGTTTAATGCTACTAGGAATGACCTTTCGAACTGCACAAACAAGAATATACAGGTCAGATGGACATTAACTCGTGTAGTTGTCTGGGTTTTTAGGTAATTACGCCCCAGCTGACGGGCACACCCGCGTAACAGGTGCAAACAATGTGGCAGTATTCCTGCTTGATTTCCCCCGCATTTTTGTGTTTGTATTTTTTCAGGGAGTGAATGAAATTTTGAATAATGGAGAGGCTATGCCTGCTTATTCCATCGCGAAAGTCGCTCAGCTAACTTAATTTAAATTGGTCCCAGCATTAAAAGTTGTCGGGAGGATTTAGTTTTGACGTCACATCTTTCATGCTCGATCCTTGAAATGTTTGATAACCTTTCTGATACGGTACGTAACATAAAATGTGGTTGTTATTAAGGTCTGTTGACAAAATTTTTGACGTGGTTTAGCCTGTATTCAACGAAATACAAGGACAGCTATTTTATCACAGTATGCAGTCGTGTTAATTTCGTCAACAGTAAATCAGTCTTGAATATGCAATAAATGAACTTAAAGACCAGCGAGGTATAAAAATGGCAAATAATTGCTCCCAGCGGTATCTAGGCTAAATTCGTTGGTTTTACGGCTTATAAACAACAGACAGATGGCCATGATTCCTGACTGCTGTGCGTCTTTTGCTGATTGTCGTGACATTTATTCAAGTTCTATAACGCATTCTTATTAAGGAAAGCTTTGTGGCATTGCATACTATTGTGTACTCACTTCTCACATGGACTTGCTACCTTCACGTCCATGGTTTCTTCACATCAGTTATTATTTACAATTGTATTTTAATTTCACTTCTTTTCGTAGGCGCGGAATCTGTGTAGACTTCGTTGCATCACTTACAATCTCTTAGAACAGCTGGCTTCGTACGTTCACCTAAATCATCAAAATGATAGTGTAATTTTGTTTCCTTGTCTTTGATCTCTTATCGACCGAGTGAAGGTTAGAAAATAGTGTTACATAAAGCTCGTTCTTGACAACAGTGCATTTATATTTGTGAACTGGCGTCCACTAGCTTTTGGGCGTTTTGAGGGGCCTGGGCGCAGCAGAATAGACTCGCTTGCCCCAGACATAATACGCTCTTGGCAATATTTATTATTTTAATAAGTTCTGAAAACTTGATCGGAATGAAATTACTCGCCTGGCGCATGACAAGAAATTATCTATTTTCAGCATTTTAATGGATTTAAACGGAGTGTAAAGGCATGTGTGCTCGCCATCGGTCTGTGTTAGCTTGCCAATGTCGAAAATATTTCTGGTGGCCAA